TGCTACAGTGCTATGAAAAAAGCATGCAAGAAACTTATTCATTTCAAGGCTTTGCCTTTGTTTTGCTATGCATGGATGAGTCATGTCAATATTCCTCGAACCAGGGTGCAAATGGCAACTATTGGCACCCTTGTTCAAGAATCATAGCAATTGAGAATCGAGATTAGCAGTAACCTCTTTTGGATTCAATCTCACTTAACTCTACAAAAGAAAACACTGGTTAAAGCAAATTTGAGTGCTCCCAAGAGTGAAGGGTTTTTGTGCTGTTAGTGACCAATGACCAAGTCTGGTGAGTCAACTTACGCGTCCGTTAAAATATGATTATCTTTTTCACCTATAGTTTCAGTGCTCCATAAAAGCAATATATTGCATAATAGGTGCTCCAGCTGGCACCTTGCAGTGTCTCGTGGCAGTGTAGCGGCCTCCCTCCACATGAAATCGCGCCTTGAGCTCTCAGTTTTCACAGCTCACACATATCTCAATGCACAAGCATTTGTGCACCGACTCAATATTTATAGCTGAGAGGCCAGAACTACAAGAGGGGGGGGGGGGGGGGAGTCGAGGTTCCTTGACATGCCCTCCTGTGAATTTCTTCCCGGGACATTCTCATAAAATATCTGAGGTGCCATCTCTTTGAATAGAGATTACCTTACTGGGTTGCAGTCACTATATAAAGGTCTGAGATTGAAAGGTTGTAACTGGAGCACCAATTATGCAACACATTGCTGTTAAGGAGCATTGAAACCATGTGTGGAAAAGATCATCAACTGGAGCACCAATTATGCAACACATTGCTGTTAAGGAGCATTGAAATCATGTGTGGAAAAGATCATCATATTTTAACGGACTCGGAAGTCTACTCACCAGACTTGTCAGACTTGCAATGAGCAGCGAGTCTGAGTCCACTAGTAAGGCCTAAGGAAAAAATATATTTCATGAGTGAGTGTGAATGATTCGCAGATTTCTTTTTAACCTATGCAGGGTGCTGCTCAATATAAGCACGCAGAGACAGGGTAAATGCAGAAGTGGTTCAGCTGGTAAGGCAATGTGTTATGATATAGAAGAGTTCTTCGGTTGTCCAGAGAAGTGTTACATTATTAAGTAGTACCATCGATCATCTTACATCGCTGCCGAGAAAAACACTGACCAGAAAAAATTTGAAACAATGCAGTGTGATGTTTTGCATACAAAACAGCTCCTAATAGCACCTTAATAGGGCATCAGTCAGTCGGTCTATGATGAAGATTTTATAGATGATGCTGTGCAGTCACTGAGGAGGTGTTTTGAAAGAGAGTCTCGACACTGAGGAGTAACAAGTATTCACCGACTGCAGCAGGGGAGCTCCTGGTCAATACTGCAGTCTGCATGGAGGGACTAGTCGGGCTGGTGATGAAATCATTGCTTGAAGGATTGAATATTCTGGAGTGCCTGAGTTTCATGCTTGCGATGAGTAATACTTGATGATTGTCTCACCATCATTGTTAAACCCACTTGAGTTGTCCAGTGATTTAACTAGCCATTCATTTAGAATAAAATATTGCAATGGCAATTATATGGACACTTTCAACAGCTGCTACCATTGAACATAAGGGCGCAGTTATGAGTGCTGGTGCGTGCTATTTGGATAAATATCACTACACGGCTTGTTTACGTGGTGTGCTCTCAGCACTTTCTATTCAGTTGAGACTACCGACAGCACAAAAACCCACTCACTCTCAGCAGCACTGACATTGACTTTAACCAGTGTTTCGTTTTGTGAAATGGAATCTGAAGAGTTAAGTGCTAATCTTTGTATAGCATTCCCATTTGCTCCTATTTCCTTCATTGCTTCGTGCTTGTAACAAAACTCTGAGCTAAGACTTTATCTTTGGACCCCAACCAGCATTTGCTGGCGTGCTAAAACAGGGGTACAACAGCCGAAATAGCATTTGGAGCAATTTTTGGAGCAGCAAAATGTTACTTTTGGAGCACTAAATTCCAAGTTCGGAGCTGGTTATGGAAAAAAAGAACATGCATTTTTATCATGACATAGCGAATTTGGAGCACTATAAAAAAAGGTGGCTTACATTTAGAGAAAAAACATGTATAAACAATTCAACATAACCTAAATTATGTCGTGTGAGCATACTATTTACTACTATTTCAATGAAGGTAGTATTTTGAACCACCTCGCTAAGGAACCAATGATAAAGTCCATATTAGCATTTACTGCACCTGTTAAATCAATTGACAAACTCTGAGAATTTCAATATCAATCTGCCGATATTGTGAGCTTGAAATTTGGAAGATTCGTAAAAACGAGAAGTAGAGGTGGTGAAAAAAAAAATTGGCGCACAATTTAGTTTATTTCTGTAGAGAAGCATAAATGTCACACACTGCTTCAAATGATTGACAGTAGCTTATTTATACGTCAGTAATTATACTGGTACTCAGAATTTAATGGTGTACAAACGCATGAGTAACTGAGCAAGATGTGAAGTGTCCCAGTATCGCGAACAGCCCCTTGTAAATCTCAACACGCTTTTTCGCAGGCACCGGTCTAGTGCGGCAAAGGTGACTCAAGCAGCTTTAGAACGAAAGTCAACAAATTTTCTTACCGCTCACCACCCCCCTCCCACCCACCCTTTTCAGCATGGGGCTATGTGCCGCTTCGGCTACCTTGCAAGACGAGTTTGACCAGATAAAGTAACAACGGCGCACGCCCGTTGCCCCGGCGACGGTACTAGATATCTATCGCCAAGACCGTGGCAAGGACGCAGCTTCCAGCCAAAATTTGTTATTTGCCACTGCTAAGGTAATCAACACCGGCATTTACAGCACGTCGAAGCCTTATTAAGCCATATCCGCGTTTCTGGCAAGAGAACTTACATTTTCCGCGAAGGGTTGGTGCAACACATTTTTGTTTTAAAGTTCTGCCATCCCGCCGATACGTATCTGTTGTGGTCAGCGGACCGATAGACATGCAGTGTTGTTACTTTATCAGGTCGATCACGTCTCACGAGCATAGGGTGGGTGGCTAGATTATTTTAGGTATATTCTAGGCAGTTTACTTCGGGTTTGCGCGCTTTTAGTGATGGTGCAAAGCTGCAGGTGGCCGACATGGCCTGCATTGCTCACCGCAATTAGTACACCTGAAAAAAAATTGAGGCTGGCTGGGCATTTTGGCGCAGCGTGGTGAAATTTTAACAATTTCACGGGTTTGGCCCAGCTCGGTGCAACAATCGGGAATTGTATCAAATTGGCGCGATTGGCACAGCTGCTGCACCCCTGCTAAAAGGGCCTGATGTTAAACTGTTCAAGCTTTAGCAGTGCATTTTGGGGGATGTTAAGTCAGCCATTGGAGTCTACCCGGTCACTGCCTCCAATTAAGGGGTAGCGACAATAACTTTTCTGCTCTATGTATCTACTTTGCCATTATTGAATATGACAGCTCTGCGGGTGTATGTAAACACTGCCTTACTTCAGAGCACTGTGTTGATTAGAGAAGACCGGCAAGTCCCAGACTTCCACGTATTTTTTACCCTATTGTAATCATTTTTGAGCATGTAATGATAGCAACCAGAAGTTTATACTAATTTGTTCAGAGCCTTGCGTTCTATTGACCGAACCAAAGTATGGTTTACTTTATTTAAAAAATTGCATTTTTTTGCTCCTGTACATGATTTTGGACATTTTGCACACTTTCTTTAAGATCAAATGAAAGTTATTCTAAAGGATCAAGTTCAGTTCAGTACACCACCATGTGTTGCTTGAGTACGTGCACAAACAATCAGCATGACATCTTTTGCCATTTTAAAATTATCATACTGACATAACAAAAAATGCCATTTCGAGAAGATGGAGTTCTACTTATGCAATAAAAATTGCACATTTTTTTTCTGTGCTGACTTATTTTTTTTACTGTGCCACCTTATCTATTTCACTGTGTCTGACTTCGGTAAATGCTTAAACAACACTAGTTGGACAGCCTTTTCTTTTTGCTAAAAAATGCTAAACTTCATGCTTTTCGTCAATTTAGAAAGAAAATAAGCTACAAATATACCATATATAAAAGGGCCATTTGCTTTCAGGTCGCTTTTTTCAGTTGATTAAAAAAAGATACGCAGGATGAGGACAATACTGTAATATCTCAAGCAAGCGCCCCCACATAAGCAAGTTCCATCCTCTCTCTTTCAAGATATTTAAAACATGTACGAACAACTGAGCAAGCACTCCCCCCCCCCCCCCCCGCCTTTTTGCCATTTCTGTAGTTTCCTTCACTTCCTTTATTTAGAAGCGCAACGAGGTTGCAGAATCATAGTGAATTCATGCATATTTATTAAAGTGTATCAGTTTCGTTGGAAGCACATGCGACTTTTTCACCATAATCTTGATTTTTTGATGCAAGACCGAGCAAGAACCCCCCCCCCCCTCCAATTCTCGTCACCTTCACCATAGTGGGAGCACTCGCTCAGGATTGCACGGTACACGAAAATTGTAGAAAAAGAATCTGCTTTCATATCTAGTAAACAATGAAAAAGTACTTTCTTCTAACATTTGCTTACCCTGCTTCCTTCATACACAAAATTAATAACATAACCCTTACAAATATTATTTAGTTCTGTAGCAAGGGAATATGCTGCCCGCTGATATTGTGAACTGCTCTTCTGTCAAATTTATGAACAGAATTCAGAACTTATGTGAACACCTGTATACTATACAATGTGCATATTTCTTGCTCTTACTTGCTTTGTACATAAGTTCGATTTATTTTCCTCACATTTTTGTGTATTCAAGTTCAACCCATTCCTGCATTGGCCCGAGAAGGGGCCTGCAATATTGTAAAATAAAATAAAAATAAGCTACTTTGAAATTCACATAAACTTGGTTCCCTACACTGACAGACACACGTAGTTTCAACCCTGTTCAAGAAGCATGAAGTTGGCAGACTTGTCAATTATTCTGCCCATTGAAAACATCAGTGCTATTGAAAGCTAAATTTCTTAACAGTACACACTTGCCTGACAGCTTCTTCTTGAAGCATGTGAAGCCCTGTCAAGGTGAGGCATCATTGGGAAGGACTGTGGTAGCGGCTCAGAAGTTGTAATACTGGTTGTGATGCAGCAATGGCTGAAGTGAAATATAGGTCGTGGTGGTGGTAGCAGCAGCTGCAGTGTTTCTGCCGAAGGTGCCTGACCTGGAGGATATCACTGAAACCTAAGGGGTGACAGATAATAGGCATTAAGAAATCATGAAAAAGAATGTTCACTACATTATAGAAATTTGCAACTTAGAGTAATGGACAGCTGAGCTTGTTGGTAGAGATTTATGTTGGACTTCTGTGAACATAATAAGCGAGAAGCGTAGCATGTAAAGGGTGTGTCGTGGGTAGTACCTACATTCACAACATAGCTCAGGGGCTAAAGAGAGTGATAAACAGATACAACATAAATGCATTATGGCCACCAATAGACTAGGTACTAGGCGAGATATAATGTCATGCTGAAAAACATCGAGAGGGGACAAGAAGCTGGACTCACATTTGTTTCGTAAACACACCAAAAATTTTGTTGATTACCATACAGGCGTAAAGTAACATGTTCCTTTTAGCTTTGGCCATACCTACATAGGGAAGATGGGCCAGTGTTAACTATAGATGAATGAAAAAGAAGAGAGCGCGAACTACAGGCTCACCGAAAATTCTATCTTTAAATTGTCGAAGGTGTGTTGAAAGCACAGGCCGACCAAAAAAAAATGTGAAGCTCACTCAATCGCAAAATGTATTTGCACATATGGCTCATTCAGATTCTCATTTATGGCCCAATCCGAGTTTGAGTGACTCGGCTTGTGAGGGAGTTTGCCGACCTATGGCTGAGAGGGGTTCTGAAGTCTGCCATTCCTTTCCTCCAAAGCCTCTATTTGTTGCTCAATCCACTCGTTCCATTGTAAAAATTTTCTCTTTCTGGAGGAGGCTCAATCAAACAACTTTCTAATTGCCAGAGCCATCCTACAGGGCTCTTTTTCTTTCTTGAATCGCTGCCTTCTGCGACTTTTTTTTTTTGGAGGGGTGGGGGGGGGGTCTTGGGAGTGTATATAAAACCCAAAATATTACCACTCAGTAGAGACGCTCTAAATGCCATAAAATCCAGAGTAAGCACTCCTAACAGAGCAAGCACCTCCCTACTTTCTTGCTAAATAGAGGTGCTAAATAAGTAGCCTCTTCTCCTCTACCACCATCTTCACTGTTTTCATTTGCCGAGTGAATGCGAAATAAAGCCGTGGATGCATGGGCATTCAAGAAAGTGCTTAAGTAGACGCACAGATGTGCATTTTTTATTCTCAGTGATTCTTCCACTTCCACGTTAAATATTGACCGATGACTGAGCAAGAGCCTACTCTTCAAACCTTGTCGAATTATCATTCACTCTCCAGGAGCACTTGCTGAGAATTTTTCGATAAACACAACATACTACAAAGTCTGTACTTTCCAGTTACACGTACCTCAAGACTAGAGTTGCAGTAAGCCATGAATATTCACTTGAATATCATACTGTCTGCTGTGTTGCTGACCGCAACAGCTGCATGTGCTCCTTAATTTATAACTATGCAATAATTGCACATCATATTTGCAGACTGATGTTTATGCAGTGATTTAGCCACATGAATTTATGCAAATCATTACAAAATTAACTGCTTCATGAACGTAACAAACATAGAGTCAGCATGAGTATAACTTGAGAAGCTTGCTTTGGCGTGTTGACACTCCGGAGATACATTTCAGCTCATAAAATACAATGCCTATATTTTTCAAAGTCAAACTGGCCTCCGAATAAAAAGCAATTAAAATTTCATGATGCAACGCATATGTGTTGTACGATTTCTTTAGTGTGCCTGTCTATCTTATGAGGTCACAGCTTTCAGTTCTTGACGCAAAACCCATGTAAGCATGCCTCGGATAAGTGTGAAATGTGTGCTAGAATTCAATTTCAGGGTGCTGAGCAGTGCAGTGCAGCTGAAATTCATCGAATATTGAGCAATGTGTACAGCACCACTTTCAATACATGACAGCAAGGCACTGCAATAGTGTAGGAAATTAGAAGCATGATGTACAATATTTACAATGCAAACTGACTGGGAATGAAGCAAGTGTAAAACTATGATTTTGTTGACTGAACGGATCAGATAATTCGGTAAAATCATGGGGTCAGAATTTTTGGGCTGAGTAATTCATTTCCCAAAATAGCAGTCAGCTCAATACAGCACAGATGGTATACCATGGTTGGACACAGAGTGAGACTCTAGTGCTGCAAACTGCGTGCAGTCAGTTCCTAAAATGCTGACTGGTCATGAAAACAAAACGATAAACGGGTGCCATTTTGACATTTCTCTGGCACTACCATGATGTACTCCAGAACTGAAGGTGCGATACAAACAGAAGCATTCCGATGAGCGCAAAGAAATTCAAGTGAACCTTCTCCAAGAAGAAGTGCATGGCTGCTGTGTTTGGGGAGATAAATGGTGGTGTTTCCTTGATAAAATAGGTGAGGCTTAAACCCACAAAGACTCATGAGATTTGCCATCTGCATGGGCTCCTAGTTAAAGATATTCGTGACACGCTGTTTCGCTGGCCACGCTTTTGGAGACGTAGACAGGGCTTTTCTTTCAATTGTGTTGAAATCTAGTCATTTGCACAATCATAGTCGGCCGTGTAGCTGTCGAAAATAGTGCCAAACGGGAAAAAATGTTCAGATTCCCTTGGAACAAAGATAGAAAATTGAAGGAAATTTTGTGGAGAGACATGGTGAGTGGTATATGTCTACCGTAAGGTGAGTAATATTTATCGACAATCCTGCATGGATGGTTTCGTTTGACACATTCGGTATTTATGTACAGGCGCTCCAAGCAAAGATCCATGGCAGGTTGACTACGTGCCATCAACATATTGGCACGTCGAAAGAGAATCTAAGGCGCCAAGACTGAAGTACAAAAGTCGTTTGGATGTGTAGTTTTCATCAGCACAACCACAATCACTATCTACACAGCTACGACAAGCATACGGCATTTGTTTTAAAATGCACGGCCGCTATGCAACGTGCAGCCAGCTCTGAGCTTGATACAGAAAACAGCAAGACAGAGCAGCCAACAGCCGCACGTTATCATGCCAGGGGTGACACCGTGGAATCCACGGCACCAATTGCAGTGATGTATACACAATTAGTAGTGGTTAAGAAGGCGACGACTTCGTACCAGTTGGAAAAAATGATGTGTCAGTAATGCTATGTAGACAAGAAAGGGCGCTCCACTATTCTATATATAGAACAGGTATACAATGTGTTGCTAGTGATTTCAACTGTTCCTCCAAGCATTCATTACGTAGTAAATTTATTCATACCTGATCTGGTGCACATGCGAGCAGGACAGGTAACAAGGCTTAACAAACACGGTGCCTGACTGTGAGGTGAGCATCGCCTATACCAGCTTGTTCACAAAAACGATGCAATGCCGAAACGCCTAAGAAGCTCGACTTTACTAAATAAAAGTCGATGTCATTCATGAACATTTGAACATTTTACCAGGCCGTCACCGCTGAACACGTAGTTTTAGTAACATATGATACTCATTGCACATGGTGAACGTTGATACAAGATACTATATATCCAACAATCTGAGACAGCGACAGAGTGTTTCAATTGCAAATGCAAAAACAGCTGAGCGCCCTCACTGAGGCAAACACGCAAAAATAAGCACATTAGTCGGTGATGTGCATTATTATGCAAGTGTAAAATTAGTTGAAAGACGTGACAACCAAGGCCACGCCACTTAAAAGAAAACACATAATTGTGATAGCACATAGAGTCGGTTGTTTGCCACTTCAAATGAAAATATTATTTGGCAATCACAGCACATGCTTCTCTTTTGTGGTCAGTCGTAGGTGCGGCCATGCTATTGTGTGCTAGAAATTTGCAGCATATGCGTCGGGTTACCATGAAGAAAGCGAGTGACACGGATAAACGCCAATACTCAAGGAGTGATGCAGCACGCAGAGAGCCATTGAAATGGTAGCTGGTGCAGATGGCATGAATCCCATGAGCCTTTGCAAGTTTATGCCTCACTTATTCATGAGACATGGCATGACCCTCACTGCAGTATTGTAGGTCCAACTCTCAAATGTCTACAGAGCGCAATTAAGAATAAGCAAAGAGAGACATAAGACACTGTCTTTTTTTTTCATGACAACAAGGGGCCACAGAGGAAGCAGCGGGAAGTTCAGTCGCCCAACACCATACAGACTCAACTTAGCTATCTCTGATTGCCATATTTTTGCTAACATGAAATGCTGGCTAGGAGGCCTGTGCTTTCACCCAGTCCTGTTCTTCGCTCTGCTGCTTGATGCAGACTCGCTTACTGAACTTCTAGGCGGAGAGTAAAGGAAGTTGCAAGGCAGACAGTTCTGATGAAGCCCTTGATCAACATTTGTTGTGCTGAATACTAAATCACTGAGACTCTTACATTACTAAGTCAAAAGTGTGGTTGCTAAATATTAGTGCTGTTCTTTTTCTTTGTAAGAATCATCCCGGCAAAACTGACGTATTTACGTGTGGTGCCAGTATTGTTACTAATTATTTCTGTACCATTCTCCTTTCTTGTAATTCCACTGCAGCTTGGGCTATGCTAGGCTGCAGTATTGTGAATAAATAAATTAATGAGTTGATGCTACACACTGTCAAATGTCTGAATCAAAACGGCAAATATGTACAGATGTAGCTGGTATATGTACCTAACGTTTCAAATTAAGCAGTCTTCATTTTCGCTCTGGTTACTACTTCACGACCGAACAGAACTTGAAAAAAAAATTGCAACATAGAATGAGTGACCCTTGCCTAGCCAAGTAGCACAAATGTACATGAATGAGCGACTATTGTATAGACTTGCGGCTTGTGAAAGCAACCAGGACATTGGAAGTTAGCATTTTGTATATGTTGTTAAAATAAGTTTTACTATTAACCACATTTACCTTCCAAGTTCTGACGTTCTTTTCACAGTCACTCTGGTAGAAAAGATTGTGTTGCACGGCGAGTCGTTTTTTTCTCCATCTGCACGAGGTCAGTAAAAATAGTTTAATCAGAGAACACATAAATTTGGAGAGCAGGCTACTATAAATAACCACACAAATGAAAACGTAGAATGTGTGACTATTACATGCGAACAATAAATAAATGCAATGTAGTGCAGGTTTGCCATCAGGAATAGCGACGTCGACTTGTTCATATATTAATAACTCTACCAGTGTCACACCGGACATTTCCAGCCCCATCAGGGCCGACCCGAATGCGGTTTTTGATCGCGATCAACAGTGCCAGCTACAACTTAGGTCACTGTGCAGCCGCACATAATACATTTTGATCCAGATCGGTCATGATTGCGATCGAAAGATCCCATGGGACACGAGCGCGCGGTATCAGGTGCAGCATGCCAACATACACAACACACGGATAAAATGTGCCACATAAAAAAATAAAACACACACGCACTCAGTCAGTCAAGAACTTAATATATGGTCCTGAGGAGTTTAAGCCACCAGAGTGCCCACGTGGGACATCCTAGCAGCCGCTACCGTAGGCGACGCCCGAGTCGGGGCGGGAACGTGGTGGCGTTCCGCCAGTTCTTGGGCCCTCTGGACTGCCTTAAGTTGGTTTCGGAGATTGGGGCTCCTGAGTGCCTCCTCCCAGTCGGACTCACTGGTGAGAGGTCCCTGAGGTAACGCGGGACATTGCCAGAGCATGTGCGCGAGTGAACAGTACACTTCTGTGCAATCTGGGCACTGTGAATTTATGTCTGAGTTATAATGGCTGAGTCGGCCCCGTGATGGGTACGATCTCGTTTGTAACATTCTAAAGGCTACTTCTTGCGCGCGTTCTAGTTTTGAATGGGGTAAAGGGTATCGGCTTCTGTTGTGTCGGTAGTGGGAGGTAATTTCATGGAAGGTGAGTAGTGGGTCATTAAACTGCACGTCTGGGCCCAGCTCTTCGGTGGCTGATTGATCGTCACGGCGGGTCAGTTCTCGTGCTCGATCATGAGCCATTTCGTTGAGGTTGGGTTGTTGTGGGTGAACGTCTTTGCCCATGTGGGCAGGGAACCAAGAGAGGTAGTGCGAGCCCGTATATTTCCGTGTTTGTAAAATGCGGGCTGCTTCTGGAGCGATGTTGCCGGTTTCGTAAGCCCGAATGGCGGCGCGAGAGTCTGTGAAGACATTAGTGAGTGAGGGGTCGGTCATCGCTAAAGCTATAGCAACTTGTTCGGCTATGGCGCTTGTTGATAGCCTAACCGAGGCGGCTGAGCGTAGGGCTCCGTCGCCATCTACTACCGCGAGTGCGAAAGAGGAGGAGTTACCGTATTGCGCTGCGTCGACGAATGCGGTAGAGTTGCGATTCGCGGCGGTACGGTTTAGGATCGCGCGAGCGCGGGCCAGCCGTCTGCCTTCGTTGTGTTGTGGGTGGACATTTCGCGGAAATGGGGTTACCATGTAAGTAGCTCGGACACTCTGGGGAGGGTTACTGCGCGTTCAAGGCAGGGGTGTGGGGACATGCCGGCCTCGCTTAGAAGTCGGCGGCCTGCCTTGGAGGAGGAGAGGCGGATCACTTGGGCCGTGGTCTGGGCCTCGATCACTTCATCGATGCCGTTGTGCATGCCTAGTTGGTCGAGACGGGAAGTGCTCGTGTTTTGAGGCAAACCAAGGACTTGTTTAATGCTTTTTGCGCATGAGTGTGTTTAGTTTCGTCTTTTCTACCTTCGTCCAGTTGTGGGCAGAGGCGACGTAATTGATGTGACTCATTAGGAACGCGTGGTATATGCGCAGAAGGTTGGCCTCTCCAAGGCCTCGTCTACGACCCGAGACTCGCTGAATGAGTCGGAGCATGTTCTCTGTTTTTGCTGTGATATGTTTAATTGTTCTTGCATGACAGCCAGTGGCCTCGACGAGGAGGCCGAGAATGCGTATGGAGTCCACTCGGGGTATTCGCTGCCCATCTTTGGCGTGTAGCGCTATGGGTAGATCACCTAAGGGTGTTAAGTTACGAACGCCTTGGCGAGATTGCCGGTACAGTAGCAACTCTGATTTTGTGGGCGACAAACGAAGTCCAGTGTTTTTTAAGTAGGCTTCTGTGGTATCGAGAGCAGTTTGAAGGGCTTGCTCCAACTCCGCCAATGAGCCTCCTGGGCACCAGATGGTGATGTCATCTGCGTATATAGCATGGTTTATGTTTGGGATGTCGCGGAGTTTGTCAGATAGTCCCTTCATTACTATGTTAAAAAGGAGTGGAGAAATGACTGCCCCTTGTGGTGTCCCGTTGGAACCTAATGTGTAAGTATCGGATGTAAGTTGCGATAATGCAGCTGAGCTGTTCGATTTTGCAGAAAAGAACGAATGTACGCCTGGAATCTTTTACCGAGACCAAGGCTGGCAATGGATTCCAGTATAAAGCGGTGTGAGACGCTGTCGAATGCTTTAGTGAGGTCTAGGGCGAGAATGCCACGACATCTCTCGTTTTTGAGTCGAAGATCTGTTTCTTTAGTAATAGCATGACGTCTTGTGTTGAAAGGTGCGGACGGAACCCGACCATGTTGAACGGAAAGAGTTCGTGATCCTCTATGTAGCGCGATACACGATTTAGGATGACATGTTCAGCTGCTTTTCCTATGCATGAGGTTAGGGAAATCGGGCCACTCAACTTCGACACACACGCACTCAAACATGTTTTCGTTGTGCCCTCCTTTGTTCGCCTAAACGCACGCCAGCGAAAACGTCATGGAAAATAAAATGACACTCACCTCAAAGAAGGTGGACATCCCTGTAATAGCAGCTCTTCTTGATGTCCTTACCCGGCTCACTTTGCCGATAATGGCCTTTTTGCCATATCGGCAACACTCAGCGATATGAAGCACTTCTCGAGGTTGTCCACAACGGCGCGGTAACCGTCTCCGCAAATGACGAACGTGACTTTTGGTGCACCCCGCATTTCAAATAACTTTTCACGGTTTTACTGAACCACATCTGTTTCACACCTGCCGCACAGTTCGAAGAGGCATAGAGGCTGCACACAGGAAACGTTTCAATCCGGTAGCACAAGACAAGCAACAAACCCCTTCGCACAACCTGCAAGGGCCATATTGACGACGAATGACTCCGAAATGGGCTTGTCTTGGCCGCTTGTCGTTAACCGACTCTCCCGCAGTTACAATGAAAAAAAAAAAAACTCGAAGCTGGCGAGAAAGAAAAACTCATTGACACAAATTCAAACTCATAAACTCACGTTTTTTTGCGCGCATAAAAAGCATGTAGTAAGTTGATTGGTCTCAATAGATTTTTTTTTCACGCTACAAAAATTTGTATTTTGGCTTCCGTAGTGCGGCTGTCAGGTGGTGTTGATTTATAGCTCGTAAACATCCGGTCGCGCAAAAATGCAAATGGCAGTTAAGCATTCTGCGATGATCCCGTTGATTCTCATCGACGCAGTAACAAACTGGACCTACCTACAGCGGAGAGCATGTGGAAAAAAAAAAGCCTTTTTTGAACTTCCTAAGCTTCCCAGCTGATTATTGTTCAGCAGCATGCCGTGACGGCATACGTTAACGGGCGTACATAAGCCATACATAATCGCCAAAAGAACGCGACCAGTACACCCAACTTCGAGGAGACCAACAGAAAAAAAACATAAAAAATAAATTCCGTGTTAATCTAGATTAACGAGACGAAAGCATAAAGCGCAATCTGCGAGATGTTGACTATTTTTTGTTCAATACACAGAGTAATGTAGAGATTCTCGTCTGGGCCCTGTAATTAGTGTGTGGTTGTTGTTTAGAATTTTTTCACGAATCTTAAGTGTTACATAGATGAGATTCAGCTGACCTACTGTATCTGTAAGCATTAATATATTCTTTTCTGGTACATGCATATGCCAGAATTCAGCGTAAGTATAGTGTAAAAACAGCTGAGCTGTGGAGAATCATCTTTGGCTAAGTGTAAATTATGCGTAAAGCTCTGTTTTGAATAGGTGGAGCTTCTTAAAGTGCTGCTAGTAGGAAGAACAATTAAAACAGTGAGACAGCTTAACGCACGAGACTGGCCTGCACATCCCCAGCAACTTTTATGTTAACCAAACTCCTAGAATTTTACATGGCTAGCACATTTTTTATGTTTCTAGAGCTGCAAGTCACTGATTCCTGTCATAGCGCATGCTTCACCCCGTGGCCAAAAGTGATCCTCTTCGTATTAGCCACGACAATTTTCTAGTGCACTTTTCCAGTCACGCTCCAATTTTCACTAACCAAAAATTCTACGAAGATACGATATTACTTAACGCACATTCAACGCGCAGCTTCTTGTTGAAGCAATGCTAACTGCAGCCACATGCACTCCGCAATGTAAAACATAACATAATTTCGCTACATGTTGCCACTAAAACTGCCTAGTGCTCAGGCTTCACACACACCACTATGTTGCATTCAAGGAGCCGCGAACTAAGCGGAACGCCTACAGCCCACTTTAGGACAATCGAAGCCTGCCACACTGCATGCGCACAAACTTCATTCATAAGGAACGAAAGCGAGGAGTGGGGAGACAGCCTGTGTGACTGAGGAAGCACACGAGGCGGCAGTCGCTCTTGATATCTACAGACTCCGCAGCTTACTCTCTCGTCTTCGATCTATCGGTTACGCCTCCAACGCAGACAGCGAAGCCGCATGACCAGGAGCCAACTCCTTGAGATCAGCTCTCTCACATACAAACTGCATATCGTGGCCATAAGTGCATGATCATGAGCAGGATTCTCTCTTGAGGGGTGAAAATGGCTGGTGTAGGGCGAAAGCACTGCCATAGCTTGGGTGGGTGCAAGTGCTAGTGGGGCTTGAGGGGGACAACTACTCCAATTTTTTCCCCTTACTGACACCCATGCATAAGTGTGCAAAACGAAATGAGTAATATATACTAACAGTCTTGTTATTGATAAGTTAAACAAGAAACAAACCAGTATGCTTCTCTATGTGACTCCTAGCTGGCGTAGGATCCAGTGTTTCTCATGAGTGCTAATCAATAATAACATGCTGATGTCAAAGTGACGCATAAGAATTCACAAGATATAAGACTCAATTGCCATCATATTACGGAAATTCAAGCTTGACACAAAGTATTTCTTGGTTTTGTTTTATGAGTGTAATACTTCCTTAAAGTAAATAAAGAGGGCTAACACTAGACACTTCTCTTCAATTCTTTGAAGAATGAATTCTCTCTGCAGTTACACTACACCAACGTTTTCTTTAAACCATGCTTGCATGGCACTGCAAGATTACGTCCCTCAATAAAATTAGAGAGATGTCTTCAAATGACGTTTTCTAGGTCTTCAAAAAAAAACTCAAAACAGGCAAGCAGAAAATGCGCAAGTTTGTGTCACACAATTACTCAGATAACATATTTCAAACAATGCAAATTCGTGCACCACATCATTCGAACTGAAGAGCTAATGGTGAAAATACTCATGTCTTGCAAACAAAAGTGGCTCAAGTCGTTGTTTTGAGCTTCCATGCATTGCTTTGAATGGTTTATGAGTTTGTTTGGTGGCACAAGCTTTCTTCTTCCTGATAATTGGCTGGGCTATCACAGAGAAGGCGCACAATAGCATATGATTCTCCACGCTATGTTTTGTGCACTTCCATCTGAACCATTGAAAATGGCTTGTTGCACGCTTACGTGTACAGCATCATCCCCATTGGACAGCTATTTGTAACGATACTCATGTCACAGCACATGAGCATCTTGTGCACAAAGCAAAGCGTGGAGCATTATTTGCTATTGTGCACCTTCTCTGTGATAGCACGGCCATGCGTCAGGAACAAGAAAGTTTGTGCCACTAAACACTCTTGTCAACTATTTTAAGTAATGAGTGGAAGCTCAAAACAACAACTTGAGCCACTCTTCTTTGCAAGACATAAGTACCGTGACCATTAGCTGTTCAGTTGGGATGATGCGGTACATGAATCCGTACAACAAGCTGTTTTCAAGGGTTCAGAAAGAAGCACACAAAACAAAGTGTGGAAAATTATTTCCTCTTGTCCACCTCCTCAGTGATAGACACAGCCAAGTATCACAGACAAGAATTCTTGTGCCACAATAACATTCTCATGAACCATTTAAAGCAATACGTGGAAACTCAAAATGAAAAATTGAGCCTCTTTTGTTTGCAAGACATGAGTACCATTGCGAATAGCTGTCCAATGGGCATGATGCTGTACATGCAAGCATATAAGAAGACGTTTTGAAAGGTTCAGATGGAAGCGCACATAACAAAGCGTGGAGAAGTATTTCCTCTTGTCCACCTTCTGAGGAATAAACACATCCAAGTATCACAGACGAGCATTCTTGTGCCACAAAAACACTCTCATGAACCATTTCAAGCAATACGTGGAAACTCAAAATGAAAAATTGAGCCCCTTTTGTTTGCAAGACAGGAGTACCATTGCGAATAGCTGTCCGATGGGCATGATGCTGTATATGCAAGCATATAACAAGACGTTTCGAAAGGTTCAGATGGAAGCGCGCAAAACAAAGCGTGGAGAATTATTTCCTCTTGTCCACATTCTGAGTGATAAACCAGCCAAGTATCACAGACGAGCATTCTTGTGCCACAAAAACACTCTCATGAACCATTTCAAGCAATACGTGGAAACTCAAAATGAAAAATTGAGCCCCTTTTGTTTGCAAGACGGATTACCATTGCGAATAGCTGTCCGATGGGCATGATGCTGTATATGCAAGCATATAACAAGACGTTTCGAAAGGTTCAGATGGAAGCGCGCAAAACAAAGCGTGGAGAATTATTTCCTCTTGTCCACATTCTGAGTGATAAACACAGCCAAGTATCACAGACGAGCATTCTTGTGCCACAAAAACACTCTCATGAACCATTTCAAGCAATACGTGGAAACTCAAAATGCAAAATTGAGCCCCTTTTGTTTGCAAGACAGGAGTATCATTGCGAATAGCTGTCCAGAGGGCATGATGCTGTACATGCAAGCATATAACAAGACGTTTTGAAAGGTTCAGATGGAAGCACACAAAAAAAGCGTGGAAAATTATTTCTTCTTGTCCACCTTCTGAGTGATAAACACAGCCAACTATCACAGACAAGCATTCTTGTGCCACAAAAACACTCTCATGAACCATTTCAAGCAATACGTGGAAACTCAAAATGAAAAATTGAGCCCCTTTTGTTTGCAAGACATGAGTACCGTTGCAAATAGCTGTCCAATCGGCATGATGCTGTACATGCAAGCATACAACAAGCCGTTTTGAAAGTTTCAGATAGAAGCGCACAAAAGAAAGCGTGGAGAATTATTTCTACTTGTCCACCTTCTGAGTGATAAACACAGCCAGTATCACAGACAAGCATTCTTGTGCCACAAAAACACTCTCATGAACCATTTCAAGCAATACCTGGAAACTCAAAATGAAAAATTGAGCCCCTTTTATTTGCAAGACAAGAGTACTGTTACAAATAGCTGACCAATGGGGATGATGCTATACATGCAAGCATACAACAAGCCGTTTTGAAAGGTTCAGTCAAAAGCGCACAAAACAAATCGTGGAGAAATATTTGCTAATGTACACCTCTGTGATAGCCCAGCCAAGTATCACGAAGAGGAAAACTTGTGCCTCTAAACACTCTTGCCAACCTTTTCAAGTAATGCATGGAAGCTCAAAACAACAACTTGAGCAACTCTTGTTTGCAAGACATGAGTATCCTGACCATTAGCTGTTGAGTTGGAATGATGTGATATATGAATGCGTACAACAAGAAGTTTTCAAAGGTTCAGATGAAAGCACACGAAACAAAATCTTGAGAACTATTTGCTC